CCTGGAATACTGAATGAAACCTGTAAGTTAATCCTTACTACTGGCAGTAGGTAACTAAGTAACCCATTGCTAGGTGATATGGTCATAAGACGCAACTTCACATTACTACATCAACCTACAGTGGCAACCTCAGAAACCACTGTTGTCAGAGTATATTCATGAACTGGAATAGAACAAGGTCAGCCAATGAATAGGCATAGCAACTAAGTCAGCCAATGAGGATAGTTTGGAAACTTAAACTAAAAGTAGCCTAGGCATGGCTCTATGTTAAGCTCTGCAGCTCTGAAGCTATGTTGAAGCATTGAGTCTGTCTATTGAAGATGAAACTAACTTGCTTGCTTGCTGAAGACTGGAGCTCTGCTCTGAATTTGCAACGTATTTCTATTTGAGTTTGCTCCATGTTGGAGAAAAATCTACAACTGGTTTGTAAAATCTTATTATGTTTATAAAGATGTTAAGTGAAGCATCAGCCATCTGTATTTATTTTTCTGGTGCTGAATTATCACTGCAAAACTCTCAATGATTGTTAAGTGAATATCGTGTAGTTGCTGCATCTTACAGTCATGCAATTGTCATTTGTGGCTTCATGCTGGCTTCCCCATTGACTTTCATTCATCAAATTTCTACACTGCCCATCTCACCTATGTGACTCTGCTTGGTGAAGGTTGCAAATGGTAATCACATGATCTTGGGAAGTTGCCATGGTCATTATATCAAACTGGTTGCCCAGAGCACGAATCACAATCGTGCCCATGATGCTGTGATGGCATTTTTTTTTAAAGTAAGAAAAAAATCTATCAATGCCATGGCAAAATATTGCCATTTTTAAATTCTACCTTTACCTCCAACTTCATATATGCCACGTTAATATTTAATCAATTTACTCTGGATTCTTTCAGTCATTTAAATTTTCTGCAAATCTCTCCAAAAAATTGCTTCAAAACAAACAATAATTTCCTCAACCCCCCCCCCCCCAAAAAAAACCCCAAATAATGCTGAGTTGTAATTTTATGCATTTATGCAGCACAAATGTCTGGTACTTGTTTTTTGCCCTGTTCAAGATCAGCTAAGCATTGTCAAGTTTAAAAGAGAAAAAAAGATATACAATTTCACTGCCACAAACCATTCACCTAATCACACTTGAGTTGCAGCAAGGACATCACAGTAACAATTACAAATGTCCCCATTTATTTGCCTAGGCTACTGTAGAGAGAAGTGTGAAGATACCTGACTCTGTGGTTTCTTCCCCAAACCCCCAAAACTTTAACCTTAGACTTTCTACTATTGACCTCACCCTTTTCCTAAGAGGTCTGTAGGGGGCGTGCATAAGCGCACCAACGTGCCTACCGTCCCTGTCCTATTGTTTCTTTTATTTTTCTTATATGTATCCATGTATTCATAACTATGTTTTTACTTATACCTATTATCTTCTAAGCAATTGACAAACCAAATAAAATAAAATAAATAAAATAAATCGATATACTTGAAGAAGGAATGGAAGATTGATTAAATAAACATCAGCTTAGCTCTGAGAGAAAGAGAGGGATGAAAAAGAAACCCGAGACAACCCCATCTTGATTCTCTTTAGTATATAAGGGAGAGGGTGAATCTCTATCAGGCTTTCAGGATTCCGTTAAACAGCAATAAAGTAGAATTCCAATAATTTTCATGGTGTCTGTATCCTGACTAGGCCGAACTTTAAGGAGTGACAATTGGATTCCTTGCTCTCCAAGCAACTCATCTTTGAGAAAGAATTTTAGAGATTGGGTTATGATAGCAATATCTACAGTACTTTTTGGTACTATTCCACCTTTATCTCTCTCCTTCTTTCTCTCCGCCCGCCACTGTGTGTGTGTGTGTGCCTACACATTTGTACGCCCGTGTACTTTTCAGTCAGTTTTTGACTCCTAGTAATTGCCTGGATTAATCCCTGCAATTATTTTTTTTTTTTTGACAAAATGTCATAATAGACCTGAGACAGAGTGACTGGCCTAAGGTAACAGTTGGTTTTGTGCCTAAGGCAAGGCTAAAATGCATTGTCTCAGTTTCCAGCCTGGAGCTTTAACCACTACAACAGACCAACTCGACTTCATCCATGATCTGTTGTAACTGTCAACTCATAAAACATTTCTCGGCAGGTTCAACCAATTCAACTTCATGCTAAAACACATACCGGGGGTGGGGGGTGGGGGAACTTTCTGGCTGACGCCCTCTCCCGCATGCTCCAGTACAAATGCGAAAGGGAGGAATCCTGATAGTAATGTTCAGGATGTGCATAACTCAAGTAAAAAGAAAATGTGCTAACAGCGTGAATGAATCTTCTTTTTCTTTATGTATCTGCCTGCCAATTAAGATTGGATTGGAATGGTGTCATAATGGCGTTCTTCCTAGATATTTATACTGTGGCAACTTGGCAGTGCTCTCAATACTGGTAGGTCTTCCATTATGGAATTCCTTCCCTGTCCAGGCCTTACTGGTGCTGAATCCTTTGCATTATCAAATATCCTATCTATTCATCTACTCTTTGGGCTTTTGCTGTTGATAGGATATGATGCTAAGTTTGGGCTTGTAATTTGTTCTATTTTATTGCAAACCTGCTTGAGCTTACTTTCAGTAAAAAAAAAAAAAAACACCCTATTTTTTTTTTAGGACAAAGAAGCAGATAAAATTATTCCTAATTTAGTTCTTTTGTTGTACTAGGCTTCTCCAATAGGATGCCTTCCAGATATTTTGGGACTTGGCCAAAATTATTTTGCTGACTGTTACAATTCCAAGCACATCTGGGAAAAATCTGACTGGATATCTTACCCATTACCATTAGTGCTGCTTTCCTACAGGCAACCAGAGAACGTTGCATTTAATAGCTAAATGAACGGCAGTGGATGTTCAACGTAAAGCCCACACCTGAACAACAGAAAAGTCCAAACTGAACCTGAACAGATTCTTCTCAAGGATGGCCCAGAAATCAAGATACATTGATTGGAAAGCCCGCCAGCCCCCATTTGCAAACTTGCTGCAAGGAATTCCAAAACTTCAGCAATAAATAAGTGACACAATTAAGCTGGCTCTTGACTTTCCCTTTTAAGAAGTACATTACTCTTGAAGGAATGGCATGCAAGATATTCAGTAAATATACAACCCTCTACATGTGTGACTTGAAGAAGTGCAGACAGAGGGAAATGGTTTACTGATTTTATTTTCCAGTCTATATTAATATGCGACTCACTTTAAAAAAAAAAACACCTCACTTTGTAAAGCGATTTCCTGCTGGGTGAATTAATGCTGGCTCAATTCCCAAATGTTTGATCCTTACAAGGAAACATTCAGGAAGAAGCCCACAAGCAATTAGTCATGGGCTGATTTTCCTTTATGCAAATGCTAATCTACTGTACTGGTTTAAACTCTCCCCCTTTTTTTGTATCCATATTACTGCTTCTTTTCCAGTCAGGTGCTGGCTGGGGAATTTTGGGAGAGGAAATTCATACATCGTAAAATTGCTGAGATAGAGAGACATCCTCTAGATTCTAGAAGACTGTCCCACCAACTTTGGAACTGAAAATGTGAAAACCACATCTGCCAAGAGTGGAGCTCCAAATATATTTGAAGAGTTGCCAATTGCACTCTTTATTGCTATCTTTATTTTTCAAGACTAGGACCATCAGATCAGTGCTGCAAAAATCCAAATTATCACTAGATGGCAGCAAAGGAGTTGGGAGGGGGAGGGGAATATTTTTTGCTGCCATCTAGTGATGGTTTATATTTTTGCAATACCCTAGTTTCCTTCCATTTCCATCTATGTAATGCATGAACACATGCATGCATTTTAGACAAAAATGGGTTTCAAACCCCTCATTCCGAGAACAATACAAATAACATCAGATCTGCTTCCTGATTTCTTGAACTCTCAATTGCTGCAAAGACAAATATGTTTATCAAGAAATTGGAGAAGTGGATGGCACCATTTAGTCTTGCTCTGCAGTTCTGAATCTTGCAAAAAGTGTCCCATTTGGGTTCAGTTGATGGGATACTAAACACCCAGACCAGAATCAGCCATGCACTGTCCACTGTCATTTCACTCTCTGCAGTTTTAAACCAAGTGCACAGTTTCAACACCTGCAATTGTATTTGCATTGATAAATTTATCCCCATTACTTTGGATTAATTCTTCACCCATTTACTTAGTTTTCTCTGTACACGAATAACCCTATAAAGTCTCTTAGGTTGGAGCTAATGATGGGTCCAAGGTTACCATTGAGTTTCGTAGCTAAATGAAGAACTAACCTTAAAGAATATGGTCATTCTGTCCTTCCCTGTTCACAAATTGCTTCCTTGTCAGCCCTTAAATACATATTTCTGTGTAAATATGTTTATGGACCCATCCGATGATTATTAATTACATGTTCAAGAATGGCAGTCAAATATGCGCACATCTGCATATTATCTAATTTTAGGATTGCCTGATACTGACTAGTTTTGCTTGGGATTAAAATGCATGCTGATTTTAAAGCACCCATAGCAATTTCTCCACCCTGTACTTTAGTAAAAGAGGCAGAAGTGTCTAACCTACCTAAATAGCTGGTGAACACAATTTCAAACCGAAACTTTAAACAGCCCATTCTTTTGTAAAAGTTTAGTTCATTCCCCATTCCCCACTTCAAAAACTTCTCGGCTGCTTTTTCCTGAAACTCCACCAGAAGCAAATTAAAAACGGGTCTCAAAAAGCCAAGGGAAAGAAGCAACTCAGAAGCTTGCACAAAACAGCAAAACGTTTTTAGCACCAAATTTCCATCACCCTGCCTTCCCTGCAAAGAGCATACACACCATTTCCTTAAATATAAAGTCATTTCCCCCTCTCTGCATCCAGTCAGCAGTCGCTGGTATTTATTTATTTTTTTAAGACTGTTTTAATCCACTAACCGCTCCATGGAGTCATGAGGAACGACAGGACGCTTGACACAAGCCTGTCACACAGGGAAGACTGAAGTTTGAAGTTTACTAACCTTGTGCCCCAGGAGAGGGAAGCGCCCCATTGTCCTTCTAAAAAGCGACCACCTGGCCCTCTCTCCTTGTTAAATATTCATGCTGTGGTTCAGCAAAAGAAAAGAAAGCACAGTGAGCAGGAAAGCAACAGTCAGCGTCTGGTTTTGGTTTGTTTTTTTTGCTACGTCTCTTCAGCACCAAGTAGCTCAGAGCTGGTTCCAGAGGCAGTTTGAGGGAAAACCCAGCCCACAAAATCCTTTCAGCCTATGAAGTTGCTCAGCAAGGGAAAACCACTCCCAAGTGGCAAGCAGAATGTTAGAATGGAAGGAGGAAATCGAAAAGGTGGAGAAAAGAAAAAAGAAACCCCACCCGATGCTCCACATCAAGAATATATTAAGTGAACATTTCCCAAGTTCTTTTTTTATTTTATTTTAAAAGTATTAAGCACTTTCTCAAAAGTGTTTTTGCAGGGATCTAAAAAAACGACAACAACAAACCAGGCTACTCTGGAGGCTTTAAGCCATGACACAAATAAGGATGCCAACGAATGAGTTAAATTCAGAACAGAGCTGGAAGGGACCTTGGAGGTCTTCTAGTCTAGCCCCCCTGCTCAAGCAGGAGACACTATACCATTTCAGACAAGTGACAGTCTCTTTTTAAAAGCCTCCAGTGATGAAGCCCTCGCAACTTCTGAAGGCAAGCTGTTCCACTGTTTAATTGTCCTCGTCAGGAAGTTTCTCCTTAATTTGAGGCTGCGTCTCTCCTTGATTAGATTCCTTTTAAAACAACAGCAACAGGAGACAATGGGAATATTTAAAGTTTTTACAAATGTGTCGGACTCGGTGGCAGAAGGGTTAAAGCACTGGACTCAAAGAGGAGAAACCCCACTGAAAATTCATTGATAGGGTGATTCTGGACCTAAGACAAGGCAGAGGCATAACTTGAGGTGCTGCCTGGTTTTTGGTTTTTGTTGTTGTTGTTGTTTTGGAGAAAAGGGGCTATATAAATCTAATAAATAAACAAGGTGCCCTGTTTGAGTTAGAGGCCAGGTCAAATCAGTCTCCTGCCTCCAGATATTTTTGAAATACTTATTTGCCGAAAGTAGCCAAGAAAAACAAGTCAAGTCCTCAACTAAATAAGTCCTCAGCTAAAGACCACAACTGAGCCTAAAATTTATGTTGCTAAGCAAGAGTGTTGTTAAATGAGTTTTTCCCCATTTTATGATCTTAGTTATTAACTGAATCACCACAGTTGTTCAGTTAATAACACAGTTGTTAAGTGAACCTGGTTTCCCCATTGATTTTGCTTGTCAGAAAGTCACAAAAGGTGATGGCATGACCCTGGGACACCGCCACAACCATAAATAAATAAATAAATAAATAAATAAATAAATAAATAAATAAATAGGTCTGTAGGGGGTGTGCATAAGCGCACCGACATGCCTACCGTCCCTGTCCTATTGTTTCTTTTATTTTTCTTATATGTATCCATGTATTCATAACTATGTTTATAGTTATACCTATTATCTTGTAAGCAATTGACAAATAAAATAAAATATAAATAAATAAATAAATAAATAAATATGAATCAGTTACCAAGAGTCTGAATTTTGATCACATGACCATGGGGATGCTGCAATAGTGAAAAGCTATTGCAGTGCCATTGTAACTTCAAACAATCAGTAAATGAGTCATTGTAAGTCAAGGACTATCTATAGTGCTTTTTAAAATTATCATACAAATATTCCAGTTACATGAGTATTTATGGAGAGGATGAACAAGTGACATCACCAGTTGTAAATTTTGTTGTTAATTGCAAAATTGTGTCTGACCCATCACAACCCCATAGACAATGTTCCTCCAGGCCTTCCTGTCCTCTACCATCTTCCAGCGTCCATTTAAGCTCATGCTTCCTCCTTCTATTACCCTGAATCGTTCCTAACATTAGGCTTTTCTCCATTGAGTCCTTCCTTCTCATTAGGTGGCCAAAATATTTGAGTTTCATCTTCAGGATCTGGCCTTCTAAAGAGCAAGTCAGTGTTGATCTCCTCTAGGACTGACCGGTTTGATTGACTGGTGCTAATTAAATAAAAACTGCACAACATAGTTATGACAACATGGCCTTTATGCCTGATGACATTTATTAAAGCATGTAATCCATGTGTCTCAACAAGCACCAAAATAATAATCTAGGTACCTGTGATCATTCAAATACCTCTTACAGGAGCCATTATGGTAGTCATTTAATGAGGCGGGAAGACTTGGAATATGCCCCATTGATATGCCTCAGTGGCACTTACTGTTATCTTGATGGACACTAAAGTTTTGCTTGTGATCCTCAGCTCTATGCCAACTCAGGTGGCAACATTTTACTTAACCTTGGTTGATCTCAAAAAAGCTAAACATGGTTGTATATGGTGAATACTTCAGATGAGAAACTTCTAGGAAATTCCAGTTAGGAAATTTAAAAAAAAAAACCATATTCTAGAAGAATGCTAAAGCAAACCACTGACACAAGGTTGCCAGGAAAACTATATGTCCATCTAGCCACCAAAAATAAATCTCAACTCAGTGCAGAGTCTAATTCAGCACATGTACAGAACATGCCGCAAGTATGTTCTCTTGTGGAACACACCAAAGTGCTTTTGAAGTGCAGCCAATGCTTATTCAAAAGACTTGACTCAACACTAAGTCATCGAAGCCCTAATTATTATGGAAATATGAAAAGGAAAATAAAGGTCATCTTCTATATTGTATACGTGGTCGTGCTAGATGGGAACTTGTGGAAGACATCTGGGAAAGGTTGGTCTAGTGTCCAAACATCATATCACAGTCATATCAAGAAAGCTGATAGACCTTCCTCTTTCACACGGTTCTGTGACTTTTGAAGGGAACTGGAATTTACATGAAACCAAAAGATCAGTAGAAGGCAGGATGGGGATAAGGAACTCAGATGCACTTCTTCATACAAACATGACTTTGTACCAGTCACTAAGTCTCATCCCAAACAATCCCACGAGACTGTTGTGTGTAGATAACACTGGAGGACAGGGAAGTATTTATGATGCCTTGAGTTCCTTAGGAACAAATGAATGAATGAAACTGAAGAGAACAAAGCCGTATCCTTGAAACACATACACACACATTTTGTCATGAGGAGGAAAAGGGTTGGATTTCTAGCTGTTAATGCTACAGTATTATTATTTGATGGAAACTGTCTCCAGATTTAGCCCCAATTGTTGTTGCTACTGGCTCGAGTCCTGTTCATGGATTCCCACATATCTGTTGGTAGAACTGAATCCAAATTCTAATACAGGTAGCCCTTGACTTACAACAGTTCATTTAGTGACCGTTCAAAGTCACAACGGCACTGAAAAAGGTGACATGATCATTTTTCACAGTTATGACCTTTGCAGCTTCCCCATGGTCATGTGATCAAAATCCAGGTGTTTGGCAACTGACTCATATTTATGACGGCTGCAGTGTCCCACATCATACAATCGTCTTTTTCCAATGAAGTCAATGGGGAAGACAGATTCACTTAACAACTGTGTTAAGAACTAATCAACTGCAATGATTCACTTAACGATTGTGGCAAGAAAGGGGATAAATGGGGCAAAATTCAATTAACAACAGAAATTTTCGGCTCAATTATGGTCATAAGTCGACATAATCAACTTACAACTACAATTTAGCTTGGAAGCTGCCAAATTCAGAATTTTTTTTAATGTCTTCAAGTCAATTTTTTGATCTTGCCAATTGCCTGGATAAGGTTCTCTAGTTTTCTTGGCAAGATTTCAAAATTTGTATTACTTTCTTCCTAGAACCGAGAAAGAGTGACTGACCCACGGTTATCCAGCTGGCTTTGTGCCTAAGGCGGGATTAGAATTCAAAATGTCCCGGTTTCTAGTCTTATCCACTTCACCAAACTGGTTCCAAATTGAGATCTTTAATTTGCAGATGCAGCAAGGAACAAAGGAAACATTTTCCTGTTCTCTGCATAAGCTCCGTTGCCAAACAACTGCTCTGTATTGTTGCATATCTAGAGCATTTCTCATTTACAAGAGACAGAGTGGTGCAGCAAATGCGATGGTTATAAAAGGACCAGCCAGGAAAAGTTACATTTGTCTGTCTATTTCTGTACTGGGACTTCTCCTTTCACTTAAAGCTATGCAATATTTTCCAAATGCAGGAGAACATAATAACTTTGTGTGATTTCTTTACTTGCATAATAAAGTTTGTTTCGAATACT